TGACCAAACATCTGGTATCCACGGTGGGGGTGGATTATACGAAGATCATCCCCACCAAGAGTACCAATACCCTCATTCCAACCAGGAGTTTCACGATGGAGGAGGTCATCATCAATCCTTCCTATCATATGAAGAAGAAGCCCAACAGTACCATGACAACCAACAAGAAGGCTACCAGTACCAACCCGAGTACAACTTCCACCAAGGCGACAGTAGTTACCACAACTACCATCAAGGTGCATTTCATGATCATGATCAGATGGAAGATGACCTCCCAAATCCAGTTAGTGACCCTGAGATGAAGAAGAGGAAGGCGATGTCAGTGCAGGCAGCCTCGATCCTTTTGAAGGTGTCGATGATTCTGGCCCAGATTCAGACACATAAGATGATGAGGTGTATCGCGACTATGTACCTATCATGTACTACAATATGTTGATGCCGACATGAAGCCGCCAGAGGTGCCATTATGGGGTCCACTCACTGGCTTTACGAAGGGCCAACAATTTGCCATGAAGAATGAGGTGCGACACGCTATTGCCACTAAAGCTATGACTCGGAGTTTTGAATTGCACACAACTCATTGCGACACGAAGAGGCTTATGGTTAGATGTCAAAATCAACACGAGTGATGCAAAGCTAGGGTCCGGGCCATCAAAAGCAAGAGAGTCGGCCATTGGGTCATATCCCGTGCAATGAACACTCACACATGTGTGTCATCCATAACATCCCAAGGCCATCGACAGTTGAAATCCAGGGTCGTTCCAACGGCTATCAAGCATCTAATTGAGGAACAACCCGACCTGAAGGTTAAAAACATCAACGCCGACATTTCTAGTCATTATAGATATATTATTTACTACAAGAAGGCATGGCATGGAAAGTATAAATCAATGACCGCTGTGTTTGGTGACTACGAAGAATCATATGCATTCCTTCCCATATTGATTTTGGCATTGGAGGGGTCTAACCCTGACACCGTTTTCTCCCCCCGCTACCAAGATGAAGAAATTCAGCCGCCAGAGCCTGGTAATAAACACCATTTCAAGCTTCGTTTCTGGTCATTCAAGCCATATATTGATGATTTTCCATTCTGTGTTCATGTGATTCAAGTGGATGGAACATTCCTTACTGACAAGTACAAGGTTACTCTTCAAGAGCAATTGGAACCATCATTTCAAGCGGAGGAAGCTTACTTATAGTCTATGGTGGACCAATAAGCGTTCTATTTCGTTGGTGTAATAATTTTGTAAAGATACTTTGAAATACAATACAACACTTATTTATACTCTTTTATAAAGGGATGCATGCCTAAGGAAATGGGGTCTTAAGCGTTCATCATGATCCTCCCATTTTCTAGGAAAATTGGGTTCTAAGCGATCCTCGGATCCCCCCCCCCCCTTTCTGTCAAAAAGGATGTGTGTCTAAGGAGATTTATATCTCTCCTAAGAGTCTTACGAGTGTACTTGTATTGCTAAAATTCTTTTGAAAACAACCAACACAAATATACCCTTACCTTACGCTTTTGTTTGTATATTCATCAGTTGTTGCCTACCAAGAGAAGATATTCAAAGAGAAGATGCAGAACATCCGTGAGCTATGCCCTGAAGGTGCGCAGTGGCTTGATCAACATGACCTAGCCATGTGGACTTTTCATAAGGACGGAGGTACCAGGTGGGGGTATTGACACAACGAACTCAAGCAAGAGTATCAACAACGTCTACAACGGTGTTCATGCACTGCCAATCTCTGCAATTGTGGAGATGAAATTCTGGAAAATGAACCAATGGTTCATCAATCGACTCCACTGGGATAAGAAGAGGGAGGCACAGGGTAAGGTACACTCCGATAAGACCACAGAAATAATGGAAAAAGATAATCGGAAGAGCTCTCGACACACTGTCATTGTTATGAACCAAAATGTTGATGAGTATTTGGTCGAGACCGGGCACTGGGAGGATGGGAGACGTGGGGGTCATAGATTAGGACCAAAAAATGGGAGTGCTCTTTCAGAATTGTAAGGGTAGAGGTATACATTATTCCCATGCAATGACTGTAATCAAGCACATGAGCAAAGACCCTCGTCACTTTGTCAGTCCGTTCTTCAACATCGACTCACAAAAAACAGTTATGGACGGATTTTTCATGCTTTGGCAGATGAAGCTTATTGGTCAGTCTATGAGAAAAAGGTCTTCATCCCACCAATCGGACAAAGGAGTGAAGCAGGTCGGCCGCGGGTAAAAAGGATTCCAAATGAGATGGATCAAAGTGGAAGAGCACCGCGAGGGCCAAGGCGGTGTTCCATCTGCAAAGTACCAGGGCATGATAAACGAAAATGTCCTAGACCAATTTGTCCTCAAAACCCAGGTCCCGATGTGGTGAACCAAAATAACAGCGCGTAGATTGTTTCCATGAATTTTCATATGGTGATTTTATTTCTATGGTTATGTAGTTGGTTTTTGTGTGATTAAATGGTATTGTAGTTTTGAAAAGTGGATCACAATTTGACGCAAAGGTGAAACTTGTTTAATAAACACATCACTCAAACAAAAACACCACTACATGAAACACATCACTCAAATAAAACATAACTTGAAATAAACACAACTTGTTAACTTAAATAAAACTCAATGATTAGGTCACCCTCATGCATTAGCTCGACGATTCGCCCTCTGCCTCCTTGTTCGATGGGTGACCGGTCCATTAGGTGTAACCGTGGTTGGACGTGGTGGAAGAGGTCGATTTGCCGTCGAAGGGCGCTGGTCCGTGCTATTGTCATCGCGGTGCCGTGCTAGGTGGTTCCTCCGTGTGCGGTCGATTGCCATCCACGCTCATACGGTGGGGAGTGGTTTGCCATTGATGATGAGGTTGATGCAATGGTGAGAAGTCTTGGTGGGCAGACGAGGATGAAACATTGTGCCAAGTAGCCGAGGGTTTGCCGTCATGATAAGTACTCGGTGGGGGTCATAGTGAAAAATCGACCGAGGATCATACTAGAACCTCGGTCGGGGATCATACTGGAAACTTGGCCAGGGATCGTACTGAGTACTGGGGTCATAGAAAGTATTCGGTCCCGGGTCGTAATGGAAACTCGACTGGGGATCGTAGTTGAAACTCGGCTGGGGATCGTACTGAGTACTCGACCCTGCACCTTGCCACACCTCCAATGGATTAGGCACCTTCCACGCCTCAATCGGCTTGATCTCGGGCACGTGAAGTCAATCCATTGTAGCCTTGTTTGGCCTTCTATGGACCGGCGGGGGCGGGATGGGGACAACATGTGTCACGCGAGGAGAAGGCACAGGGGGAATTGGCGGGTATCTATGATGGTCACGGGCGCGCGCTCTCATACAGACAAGGTGACTGTTCGCTATCCTACAAATGAGCCCCACCTCTCGTCCCGCCAAAGATCCGTAGTACGAGCGAGTGAATACACTCGATTCCATCAACCTAGACCACAGAAAGTAACAAAGTTAGTCAACTAAATAGTAACGATATGCATGACTACAAAATTGATGCTCAAACAAAATAAATGAATTAATATAACGAAATTACTTACCAAAGCTCCATCCGCCGCACCTTCGGGCGTCATGTAACGTACAGATTGTCTTTGATATGTTTCCATGTATGGGTCATGGTACCTCATCTGCCACAGCTGGTGCCGTCACAATGTCCTGATCTTGCTTATTATTCCACAACTTGATCAATTCTTCAAACTCCTTGGGCCAATTAGTAGGTTCTTGCTGACCATCTTTCCCGTGGTACCCCCTCTGGCTCTCGGGGACTTCTGATGGTATGCATTGCTCGCGTCTGAATTGTCGTAAGTGCCACTCCACTATATGGTGACAGATTAGTGGGACTCGGCTACACCATTGTCCGGGATGCAACGGGAACTTGTGGATGTGATGATAAATTATGCGGTCGGGATACAGATCGAACTTAAGCTACAAAGGTGCAGAACAAATAAACCATCAATAAACATACTAAAGCAAGTTCCAAAAAGAAAAGGAAGTAATTGTGTATCATATGATGGTTACCTCTGCTTCCAAAGGTGATCCAGCCTCCTACGATACTCCTCCAGCTTATGCTCGACTAGCGAGTATAGGCGGAGTTCTACCGTACCCAGGGTAAAATTCGGGGTACCGCATACCTTGAGTAAGAAAACGCTATACAGAACTTGAATTGACTGATCTTTCGAACATGATACTATACTCTTCTAACCCTTAAAGATCAACATCTAGGTCTTAATTCTCTCATTCTTATATCCCAAGATCAATTTAAATAGAAACAATAATCGAAGGTTATGATTCGTCCAAATATAGGCAAAGAAATCAATGCATCATCTTAGGGTTTTAGTTTATGATTTAGATAATTAGAACCTAGGGTTCACTCATTAAGTGTTAGGATATAGTATCATGCCCAAAAATCCTACTAATTCGAGGTCTAGATAGCGTTTTCATATTCAAGGTATGCGGTACCCTGGATTTCACCCGAGGTACCGTAGAAGGCACCATATATGGGTCAGACGCGTATGCTCCAGTTACTCCTAGGGAGATATATGTATATAGACCATGAATTGAACTAAGTTTGAGACATGATATTATACCATATTCTCTAATGGATAAACCCTTTCATCGTTAATTTCATATATGACCTCGAACGAGAGAGATGATTAAAAAATATAAAATCAAATACAAAAGTTTGTCACGGCCGAGAGAGTTGAGTAAGAATATAAAAGGAAATACTAACAACAAATCAATTTAAAGACAACCAACAAAAGTATAAGAAATATGGAGAGAGATGGAATATGTAGAAAATAAATTTTAAAAAAAAAAGTAAAAAAAAAAAATCAATAAAAAGTTTTCATATGTCGTCTCTTTAATTACATTAAAGTTTAAAAGGTTGACATATGTTACTTTTAATAGATTGGCCTTCAATTTTGGAACAATTACCAGAAAACCCTCTCTTCATATATAGTACACTGACAAAAAAAAAATTTATATATCAACACTATAGAACTCACAGCTTAATGTTTAACAATAATTAACTGGATCTTGTTCGGGTATATAAGAATGGAAGCTGCAATGCCCCTTCTCAGTTCTCACCATCTGCGCCCACATTTTATTATCTCATCCCGATCCAAAAATGGAGAACAGAAGGTCGCCATCATCGGTAGCACTGGCGGTAGGGTTATTGGCAATGATGTCGGCCGGCTTCCTCGTCGGGCAATCCACGGCGGCTTCTTTCACCATTTGCTACAGGAACTGCTTCCTTCTGTGCGCCATTACCGGTAACTCTCTCGGCTCTTGCGCCGGAGACTGCTTGAAAGACTGCCTCCTCCAGCCGCCGTCCTCACTGCCGCCGAAACCTTCTTCTGTTTCGAAAATGGGAGAAGAGATGAAGAAACCCGCATCCCATCGCCAAAACTTGTACTTCTGCAAGCTCGGCTGTGCATTCTCCCTCTGCTCCAACTTCAGCTCCCGCGCTACTGACCCTAGTAAGCTCGCTCGTCATTTCCTTTTAACTTAATTAATTTTGTCTCTCTTTATGCTAGTTGATTAGTTAATTCACTCTTTAATTAGTTCATTATGTTATTACAAGTAGCTTCTAACGCAGCACAAAATGGTTTGTATTTGTATACTTTGTAACGTGGTTTTTCATCAGGAGAAGAGAAAGTGGCGGCTTGTGTGGATTCTTGCTCGACCAAGTGTACCGTCCGAGGTTAATTTCTCCGACGTCGTCATTTGAATGAGTGGTTGGTTAATGTTTCGAGAATTTGAAGGTTGTTGATTGTTTCGAGGGGTTAGATATGTTTCTTCAAACAAGATTGATCGATCTATGTATTAATTAAAGATTGTAGTTCTCTGTATTTCAATTACATGTTAGCTTCCAGTCTCTAGAAACCTGATATCGAACAATCATTTTTTCTTGTAATGCTAAATTTGGTGATAGCAAGACAATGCACGATTTTCTTTCTGTTATTGAACTATGCATTTTAACTTCATGTCATGTGTCTAGCGTTCAAAGAAAACGAAATTACGAGTAGCGCGATCTAATTAAAGTTAGCATCATGGACTCTAGAATGTCAACATGCTAAATGGGTTGTAGATAGGGATGATGGTTGGTGGCTTACAGATGCCAAAATAAAAATAGTTATTTAATGGGGAGAAATTAATCATCAAGTTGACAAAGAATAGGGAGAGTAAGTAATAACAAATGAACAATCTTCTGTAGTCCGTGAAGTAGAGAGGACAAATGTTCGGCGCACCCGTGAATACATATGCAACGAGACAAAAGGAAATTTGCGTTCATGTGGAGTGATTGTAAACGCGCATGTTCTACTAGAAAAAAAAAAAACTAGCAGTATTGTTAAAATTATAGTTTAATATCATTTCATATTGTCTATAGCTTGGTAGCTAGAAGGATTTTTCGGTAAGACCATCAATATGTTACGAATGGATGAGGTAGGGATGACAATTTTAACTCGCTTCGTCGGCTATTATCTGATCTGATATGCAATGAGGTAGGTATTACTGACCAGCAGTAACGTGGGGCGGGGTATGGTTATCTACTTCCGACCCGTCATGCCTAATTCTAAACTCATTCTATATTAATTTCTTATGATATCTATTCATATTTCTTCTATTTTGACTTTTCTTCAACTAGTTAGCTATGATCTTTCCACTAGTTATACTCAACTAAAGTGTTTACCCCTTCGTTTTATCATGAAAAGTTAAATTTTGGGTGTATTTTTTTTCAGATAACATGTAAAAGTAGGTCGACCCGCCACGCCCCGTACGCGCACATGTATTACCTGCCCCGACCCGCGCTTGGTGAGGGGTGGGTATGGGTACTGGGATACCCTCCCCGCCCCACGGCTCAAGATAGAGTGCATAACCATGGGTTATGCACCCATCAATAACCAAATCTGGACCCTTCATTTAGAAAATCCAGATCTAAGGATGGAGAATTAAAGGCTATTTTTATTTTCACTAGCTTTCTTAATTGACTCATATCTTTTTCGTTTTAACTCGGATTTTAATTTTTTTTTGCACAGATGGAACGAGTTCAACGTGCTCTACAAAATGAGATCAATTTTCAATATTTTTTTAGGAAAAAAAAAAAATTTGGCCTCTCGGTACCAACTGCATACCATATGGTATCTTCTTCGTTTTTAATTCGTTTTTGAAAACGTTTGCACAGCAGGGATGAGTTCATCATGATCTACTGGATCTACAAATTTCTGGGTGAACAAATTACAGGACCAAAAAATACCACACAATACCACCCTGGTACGGGGTGGTATTGTATGGTATCTTCTTCATTTTTAATTCTTTTTTGAAAACGTTTGCACAGAAGGGACGAGTTCATCATGATCTATTGGCACTACAAAAAATAGGAGGTTTGAGGACGACAAAAGTCGTCCCCGGAAATAGGAAAAATCGTCCCTATAGTTTTGGGGGACAACTTAGTCGTTCCCAATACGTGGTTCCCTATACTCTTGTCCTCTATTCTTTTGGGGACGACAAATATCTAGGTCGTCCCTATTACTAGGGACGACAGTCGTCCCTATTACTCGCAGTCGTCGTCTCGTTTTTTTTTATGAAAGCGTCCCTATAGTTATAACTGTAACGACAATAAGTCGTCCCCTGAGCATCATTTTCAGGGACAAACTATTGTCCCACATAATAGATTTCATGATTGTGTTGGGCTTATATGGGGATAATATATCGTCCCCATTTCTTTCTATAGGGTCGAAATGTCGTTCCTTTATATATCAAATCTATGTCTAAAATTGTCTCCTTAACACTTATGAGGCTTTTGCCAAATGGTATTTGGGGACGATATGATGTCTCATTTTCTCTTTATAGGATCAATAAGCCATCTCAATTGAACTTATCCATAATTGGATAATAATAATAATAATAATACATTGCAATTGTTGTATCTACGGAAAAAAATTCTAATTTGTTTGTACTTTTAATTTACAAACAGAGTAAATAGAAAAAGAAAAAAAATTACACAAAAATCACAATAGAAAACATGTTTGCCGCTGCTTGTACTATCATTCTCAATCGTCCGCGTCACCGAAACGCCGCACAGATACCACTCCAGCGTAGCATCACCCGAGCAGCATCACCCGTAGCATCACTCCAGCGTAGATCTAATGCTAACGGTGTATTAAAGTCCTAAAACAAGGAGGAAATGAAATAATCTAAATCCTACCACTGCTGGGCGTCCATTATTGAAGAGGAGAACTTAGCGCGGGTGGACAAGGAATAAGGAGTGTCGATGTCATTGCCAAGTGAGAAACGCAGAGGCTGAACAGAAAGGAAGGGATAGATGACGATACGGCCGAGAAAAGGAGAAGATTGAAATCTGGAATAAGAGCTAGGGTTTATGTTGTTATTTAATTAAACTTATATGGACGTTTGAGATTGATGTTTATATAAATAAACGGTTGAGATATCTTGAAGCCTTGAAGTGTTTATAGATTTACGTTTGCAAGGAACAATTCGTATGCAAATAGGGAATTGGACTCAATTGAGGAATCTTATTAATTAAGTATTTAAGTGTTTAACTTTGGTTCAAATCCGCCAGTACTAAATAAAGATTGGCTTTCTACCAAAAAAAAATAATAATAAAGATTGGCTGATAATGGTGAATCACACGCAATCTTTTTTCCAAATCAATCTTATGCGTTTCTACTTTTCCGAAACTCTCTTCTATGGGGACAACTAAAGCTTTCTACAAATTAATTAAAAGTTGTTTTTTTATTTTACGGGGACAATTTTACACACTTGTCCCTTATATTACTTAAGATCATAATTCCTAAGACAAATTATAATAGTCGTCCCTACCTCTTGTCCCCAATTCTTCTTAATTTTGTAGTGTGGATCTACAAATTTCTAGGTGAACAAATTACAGGACCAAAAAATACCATACAATATCATACAATACCACCCTGGTACGGGGTGGTATTGTGTGGTATACAATGTTAAAAGTCGTAAATTACAATTAATATACTTCTACTGTCATGTATTCAACCATCCTACAGTATTGATTTGTTCATACCACCATGGTACGTTTTTCAAAACATAGGTATGCTTTTATTTCAATACCAGTCAATACCATATGGTATAGGCTGGTAAAAAATGGCTCAATTTTGTTTGTTCGAAAAATATATTAAAGTGGATATCATTTTGAAGAGCACAATTAATCTGATCTAACTGTGCAAAAAAATTTAAATTTCGACTTAAAATGAGCGAGAAATCGTCCGTCAAAGATTAAAGAGGGAAAAATTAAAGGCTTTCCATGAGAGAGAGGATGATGATGTCATGCTGATGTGGACGGGTTACTCATGGTTACTCACCATAAGGTTACTGACTTGATCCATTCCCCCGCCCCACCCGTTTGCCATCACTAGGGTGGGGGGAATTTCATTGGTGATGTGGCAAAAGAAAAATAAAAGTGACTCAGCAACTTATGTGGTGTTTGATCAAAGGTGATTTGGCTTTTTTTTAACTCTGTTAGCAAAATAGATGACAAAAATAAAAGTATGCACATTTAATTAACTTACATGATATCCAGTGTCCTATATTCACTTTGGTGGTATCCTTCCCTCAATTCTCAAAGTTTAATGCCATGTAGTGTATTTCTCTCGTCGATGGAACTTTAGAAGAGTTTTGTGCCCAAGTTGACCCACTGATCCTTGCTTTCTTCTCGGCCATGACAATTACAAAAAACAGTATCAATCACCGTTGATATAATGAAGGATCAGGTAAGACATCATCAGGACGAGTAAGCTTATGATTTTGCTCAATAGGAAAGTAAGGATGGGAAGCTTGTACACCCGCATCTTCCAAGATATCAAGTTCATAAACAACAGTAAAAATCACCCGCTGATATAATGAAGGATCAGGTAAGACATCATTGGGATCACGAGCAAGCTGATGATTCTGAGTTAGGACGCGAGCAATCTCAATACTTTGATACCATGTCCAGAACCAATTGATCCCTATAATTCGAGTTGTTGGAAGAAGGTTAATTGTGGATCTTATAACACTCTAACACACCCCCTCAATTGAAAGCCAACTCATGGGTTTGAAGTTTGCACAGGCGATCAACATACATTGTGCTTTAATCGACTGTTAATATTGGGGGTCGTGGAGTTTCAAACACACAACCACTTGGTCAAAAAAGCTCTGATACCATGTGAAATTGTGCAAAAATAATAAATGGAGACTTTAATTAACCTGGTTGTGTGAGGCTTACATCTACAAGAAAATCTTATGATCTTATTGGTTTATTGGCTTGGAAGAGCAAAGCTATTTTATGCACCCTGTTACATCATCATCATCTAGGGTTACACGATGGGAACAAGAGATGGAGCAAGCCCTTTGCATGAGCTTAGTGACTGCATGGGCTGCATGCGAAGTCTCTTAGGAAGACTCGGATCGTGAGTCGATTTCAATGGGCACATCATCAGAGGGGCCACGGCCCAATATGATCAATGCACTTCTTGAAACAAAAATCCCGATCTTTTTCGCCCACTCTGGAGTCCTTCATCACCAAGTCTACCAACATCGGGTGCTCACTCTACAGTATGTGATGCATGTGTTTGAAGAATAATTAGAAGAATCAAGAAAAAAGGAAACTGATCAATACATTAATTTTGTATCGCTACCTGAGGTCCCTCCTTTTTTGGTGTCCTTTTCTACCTTCGCCTTCTTCCAAACATCGCCGTCGACGGCCGTTCATTGATCCCTCGACTCCTCCTTGGCTCGCTTCGGGGCCTCCGGCTCTGTATTGGTTTCAACTAGGGGTCCGTGAACCGGACCAAACTCATGAGAACCGCAGTCCATTAGTGAAAGATATCTTAGGACTAAGGACCAAATCATTATTCCATTCGGTCCCATTTGATATGATTTGGTCCGGTCCAAATGTCAA